AGGGAGCCCCTCTCCATCTACCCTGATTCAGTGGAATCACAGGCTGCTCCCTCGGTTCCCAGAGCCCTTGGAACGGTTCAAGGGGCAAAAGGGGCCCAGCACAGGTAGGAGGGAGCACCGACACCCCCAGCTCTGCCTGTGGTCCCATCACAGGTAGGAGGGAGCACCGACACCCCCAGCTCTGCCTGTGGTCCCATCACAGGTAGGAGGGAGCACTGACACCCCCAGCTCTGCCTGTGGTCCCATCACAGGTAGGAGGGAGCACCGACACCCCCAGCTCTGCCTGTGGTCCCAGCACAGCACGGCTGGGGACCAGGGGGTGCTGCTTCCCTAAGCAGGGCAAAACGGGCACTGGAAGATGCTCCAGCTGCCCCCAGCAGGGACCACTCCCCACCCTCCCCCCTGGCAGCGAGGGGGCACGTGGGAGCAGCTGAAGAAGCGATGCCCTAACCTGGAGACACAAATGTTGCTCCGCTTTGGGAAGCGGCTCCCAGGAAAAGTGAGCTGGGACCTGTCCTTTGGGACTGCCTGGAGGAGCAGGGTCAGCACAGGCTGTGCCAGCACCATGAAGGTGTCCTTGGGTAAGCTGGGAACTCTTCCAGAGGTGGGCTCAGGGAGCTGCCACGTGCTGCACACAGTTTGGAATGGGTGGTTACTGCAGGCAGAGCCCATCCCACGTGAGCTCCATCCCTGGAGCACCGAGAAAGGATCAGCAAAGCAGAGCCTGCTTTCAGTCTCAGCCTAATCTTCCACCCCCCCAGTTCAACAGCCCTGGGTTTGAATGCTCAGCTCCACACTGAGCTCTTCCAGCATGGATATGTCCAGGAAAAAGCTGCTTTCCCCAGCCTTGGTCCTTCCAGGAGCTCCACTACCCTATCTGTACCCCATGGAGAAGCTCTGCTGGTTGAGCTCTCATCCAGGCTGGGTTAAGCATGGAGGAGGAGGAAGCCTGGAAAAACCACTCAGCAGCATCTGTGGTGGGTCAGGAGAGTGATGGAGAGCTGGGCAGAGCTGGGTTCTGGCTCAGGAGAGGTGGGCAGAGCTGGGCAGAGCTGGGTTCTGGCTCAGGAGAGCGATGTGGAGCTGGGCAGAGCTGGGCAGAGCTGGGTTCTGGCTCAGGAGAGCTGGGCAGAGCTGGGTTCTGCCTCCACCTGTGCCCTTTGCTCTAAGCCCAGGGCTGGCAATAAACCCAGGCTGAAGATGTGCAGCTTCCCCAGAGAGCACTTCCCTATCCCAGTCTGGGGCCAGGGCACTGATCCCCTGGGATCAGCGCTCACAGACACCCTCCAGAAATCCCTCTATCCCTTCCCATCCTGATTCCTGGACTGGAAACAGCAGCAAGCAAGGAAATGTTTGTCCTGCTGACCACCCTGCCTGCCATTCCTTTCCTGCCTGGGTTCAACTGCAGCTCTTTTAGGGAGAAGCTTGTCCAAGGATTAAAATTCCCACCTCTTGCAGACACCCCCAAAAGCTGCTGTAACCAAGGGACCACATGCCCTGACACCCCCAGGCCCCTCAGGGCCCCAGAATGGGGCTCTCTAAGCCAGGTTGGTGGAGATTTCCTCATCATAAACTGGAAAAAACACCCAGAATTTAATGTGAACTTTGGTGATGGAGAAGTGGAATGAAAAGTCTCACTAAGAGGTCACAGAATCCTGGAATAGGTTGAGTGGGAAGGGACCTTAAAGCCCATCCAGTGCCACCCCTGCCATGGGTAGGGACACCTTCCACTGGCCCAGACTGCTCCAGCCTGGTCTTGGACACTCCCAGGGATCCAGGGGCAGCCACAGCTCCTCTGGGAAATCCAGTCCAGCCCCTCCCCACCATCCCAGCCAGCAATTCCTTCCCAATATCCCATCTGTCCCTGCCCTCTGGCCCTGGGAAGCCATTCCCTGTGTCCTGTCCCTCCATCCCTTGTCCCCAGTCCCTCTCCAGCTCTCCTGGAGCCCCTTTAGGCCCTGCAAGGGGCTCTCAGGTCTCCCTGGAGCACTGACTTGTTGGAAAGGAAGGAAAGCAAGATCCAGTGACTATAAATCCATTATTTCACCTGCCCAAAGGCCTCTTCTCAGTGCCCATCCTGCCCTGAGCAGCTCCTTCGGGAGCCACGTGGATTAATGGGGGACTGTGGGATGAAGGGGCAGAAACCTGGCCAAGTATCACACAAATTCACCCGAACAAACAGGCTCCCAGTCCAGCCTAACCCCCCAGGAATTCCTAAAGCATCACTTCCATTCAGGGTGCTCCCAGCCAGACCCAGTTATGGCTGTTTTGTGATGAAGGGTCACCATGTGAATTCTAAAACACAGGGGTCCCTCAGATATGGAGTTTCCCAACATGACAACTCAGGGGATGGATCAATGAGCAGTGCCAGGGGAAATTCAAGGTCAGCCAAAAGGACTTTGGCTTCCTGTTGGGATCCCAGAGATGGGAACTGCTCCAGGCACAGTCAGACCACAACTGCTTCAGAGTCCTGCAGCAGACATCAGGCAGCTCCTCTTTTAAAATTGATGGATGAAGAAGAAACCCTGCTCCCTTGCCTCTCCCAGCCCAGAACAAAAGGGAACATATTGCAACTGTGCTGAGGGAGAGAGGAGGCTGCTGTCTATTCCTTTAAATGTAATGTTAATGCCTTGTAATCAGCTTTAATTTTTAAACAGGCCCAGCCCTCCTGTCCATTCCCCCTAATTCAGGACACGTGGAAGGTAAATGGCCTGTGCTTAAACCGGGGCAGCTTCGGCTGTGACAGCTGGGGAGCCTCAGCTGCCTCGGGACAGCAGGGGAGGGACACGGGGAGGGCAGGGGAGGTGCTGGAGATGCTCTGAGGTCAGGGACGTGGTGCCAGACAGGGCACAGCTCATTTGTGGATGCAAACTCTCTGAAGGCAACGGGGCTGGCAGGAATTCTGGAGGGGCTGAAGCAGCAAAGGGCTTGGCAGGGACGCCCTGCCCGGAACTGAGCAGATCCCTCTGGGGAACCCGCAGGGAAGGAAAGGCCAGAGGCTTTTGGGGGCAGCAGCAGATCAAGCCAGGACTGAGCCACTCCTGGTGTCTCCCCGGGCTGCTGCCCTTGTGTCACAGCTGAAGAGCAGCCTGGAGACTCCACGTGACACCTGGATGCAGGACAGGGGCAAAAATCCCCTGGGAGGCTCCTTGTGCTCTTCCAGCACCGTCCCCTTCGCCAAGAGGAGAGGGGCCTGTGGCACACCCAGAGTGTGGGTGTCACACACTCATATCATACCCAAATATTTGTCTCCACGAATCACAGATTGGTTTGGGTTGGAAGGGGCCTTAAAGATGATCCAGTTCCAGCCCTGACACCTTCCACCAGCCCAGATTGCTCCAAGCCCTGTCCAACCTGGCCTTGGACACTTCCAGGGATCCAGGGGCAGACACAGCCTCTCTGGGCAAGCTGTGCCTGGGCCTACCCACCCTCACAGGGAATTTCTTCCTAATATCCCATCTAAGGCTGCCCTCCTTCAGCTCAAGGCTGTTCCCCCTTGTCCTGTCACTCCATGCCCTGGGGAAAGGCCCCTCTCCAGCCTCCCACAAGCCCCCTTCACACGCTGGAAATGCTGCTAGAGGGTCTCCCCGGAGCCTTCTCTCCCCCAGGCTAAATAAAGTGACTAAAACGAGGTTTTCCTGCCCCAAAAGCCAAGAATCCCCAGGAACAGCCACCCCGAGCCGCTATTTTTAGCCGTGGTTGGTGGGCAGACAAATCCTAATCTGCAGCGGAGCCACCTCGTCACCAGTCCCAGGATCAGGCCGGGCAAAGCCACGCGGGGCCCGTGACAGCCCCGAGCCACAGGGACAGCCCCGAGCCACAGGGACAGCCCCGAGCCACAGGGACAGCCCCGAGCCACAGGGACAGCCCTGAGGCACAGGGACAGCCCGCACAGCCCCTCAGAGGGACAGCTCTGAGTCACAGGGACAGCCCCAGAGACAGGGACAGCCCTGAGGCACAGGGACAGCTCCGAGCCACAGGGACAGCTCCAAGCCACAGGGACAGCCCTGAGGCACAGGGACAGCCCCGAGCCACAGGGACAGCCCTGAGGCACAGGGACAGCCCGCACAGCCCCTCAGAGGGACAGCTCTGAGTCACAGGGACTGCTCCAAGGCACAGGGACAGCCCAGGATTGGTGCCCAGCCATCAGGCAGCACAGCAGCACAAGCCACCGGGGCTGGGCCAGAGCCGGTGGGAATTGGTCCCAGCGGGAATCGGCCCCGGTGGGAATCGGGAATCGGCCCTGCTGGGAGCGTCAGGGCCAGTGGAGCAGCCCTGGCTCCGGGGAGGGAATGTCTGGGCTCTTGTCCCGCTGGGAAAGGCCTGCCTGCTGGCACTGGAGTGTGCCACAGTGCCAGCACACACAGAGCTGGCAGGGAGAAGGACACAGGGGTGAGGGGCAGCCAGGTGCCCCCTCTTTATGGGGTACGACGAGCGTGCTGAAATCCTGGGATCATCAGGGTCAGAAAACAATTTACAGATCAAGTCCAACCATCCCCAGCACTGCCAAGGCCACCACTGACCCGTGTCCCCAAGTGGCACATCCACATGGCTTGGAAATCCCTCCAGGGATGGGGGACTCCACCCCTGCAGCCCCTTCCAGTGCCTGATGACCCTTTCCATGGAGAAATTTTCCCTGATATCCAACCTGGACCTCCCCTGGTGCAATTTGGGGCCGTTTCCTCTGGTCCTGTCCCTTGTTCCCTGGGAGAACAGACCCAGACTTGACACAGGCTAAGCTCATAACTGAGGCTTATGCCAAGGTATTTTAGAGTCCATCAAGGCCCCGTTGCTGGTAATGATGCATTTCTGCACAGCAGTTTGTCCTCTAGGAAACACCTCTCCCTGTTCCTGGAGCTGCTCAGTGAATCCAGGAATTCCCCACTCATGCCTTTCAGCTTTCCTTGTTGGCTGCCAGCATCTCTCCTTCCCTCTCCTCTGAAACACATCTGCCAAACTGATTTTCCTCACCTTTCCTTCACATTGGGAATAAATCCTACCTGTTTCAGGGTAAACCTTCATTAAAAAATTCTGTTCCCACCAGGAAGGCCCTATAACAAGCTTGACTCTTCCCTTCCTGTCCTCCTCGATGCAAGCAAGCTGATCTGCACTTTGCCAAGCTGCTAGCGACTCATTTGGCTCCACTTTCCCTAAAAAAAGGAGATCCAACAGGAAAATCAGAAAACAGTGCTTTTACAAACCCGACATTTGCAGCCTCTCAGCCTCCCCCCTCAATTTATGATTATTTTCCTCCTGTACAGAACCACCAGCTCCCAGAGGCTCCGTGTCCCTATCCTGAGGCAGCCCAAAGTCAGGAGAACGGGATCCTGACGCCTGCCTTCCCCTCCTGGACGTGTTTCCAACTGTAAACAGCCCTCCCAGAGCCGTGTGGGATCGGGATCCACGCTGCAGGCCTGCCAGGAGGAGGATTCCCCGTCTCCCATCTGCGCAGCCGAGGGTGGGGACAGGTTTCCACCTGACAGCTCGCTGGTTTTGCGTGGGAAGCTCGGCAGCCTCAGCCAGGACCGAGGCTTTTCCAGCACTCAAACCTCTTCCCAGCCCCAAGTCACCACCTGGAGCAGCCATTCCGGGCAGGAGGTTCCCTGAATGCCGTGGGCAGCTCGTTTATCCTGCACTAACTGGGAAGATGCACTCCTGGACCGGCGCCGCACTCCCGGGCTTGCGAAAGCAGGGAGCTGGTTAATCCCCCCCTGCCCACGTCAGAGTCCTAATGCTCTTCCCATCACAAATCCTGGCTCACCCCCAGCCCTAAGCACGGCCCCCCTGGCTCGTAGGAAGAACTGGGGTTGGATTTTTTGGATGGCTTTTGGGGTGGAGGAGGGCAAGGCTCACAGTGGGCTCCTCAGCATTGCTCCCAGCAGCACCTCCAGCAGCACAGGGAGGGGATACATCAGGAAAATGTGCTCTGGGGACAGGAAAATGTGCTCTGGGGACAGGAAAATGTGCTCTGGGGACCTGTTGCTGCAGGTGAGGCCCAGGGGGACAAACAAGGATCCACTGGATCTCTGGCTGTGCCGAGCTCAGCTCTGTGGAATTACCTCCCTGCTCACGGCTCGATCCCACATCTTCCCCTGCTCTTCCCACGGCCCGTCTGAATCCCAGCCGGAGCCTGGAGCACCCTCTCACCTCCACGAGGCCCCACACTGGCCCAGGCCACAGCACTCGTGGGGCAGCGAGGCCGTGCAGGCTCCTTTCCCTGGGCAGAACAGCTCGGAGCTCTGCCCTGGCCCTGAGCTCTCCTTGCAGGCAGCAGCCTCATCAATATTTCAGGGAGCAGCCGGGAAGCCTGTGGCCCTGGCAGCTCTTGGATCAATGGCAAAGCAAAGGCTGTGGGATGGGGACGCTCCGGCCCCGCTCCTTCCCCAGCGAGTTTCCTGCTCCGCTCCCAAAGCAGCTCCAGAGCTCAGAGCTCCCCCTTTTCCATCCAGCTGGAGGAAGAGGTGCTGCCACCCCCCCCTGCACCGGCTCTGAGCACTCCTTGGTTTAATGCCAACCACTTAAGGAGGGACCATCTGAGCCTCCAGCCGTGGGGTCACCGGTTCCCGCATCCCGGCTCCCAGCAGATGCTCCGGAGCAGCCAGGAAACCATAATGCACTCAGGCAGTTTGACACTGCACTGGGAGCAGGGGATCCTATTTCCTTGGGCTGCAAATGGAACCCACCACAAGGTTAGCCTTGGGTGGTTCGGGACGTTCCCCAGCTCCCTGCAGGATATCCAGACAGCCAGCCCTGGATTCTGAGGTATCCATGAGCACAGGCTGCCCCTTTGTAGCTGTCTTGGTTGTTCTTGTACCACTTAATTATTATTCAGATAATAATTCCAGAGAATGGGTGGGAAAAGTGCCGTACTGAGGCAGAAAGAAAAACGAATAAAGGAGAATAATTGCATCTAATGGTTAAAATCAGCAACGAAGCACCTTGTCTGACTCTGAGACATTTCCATGGAATCATGGAATGGTTTGGATGGGAAGGGACCTTAAGGATCATCCAGTTTCAGCTGCTGCCATGGGCAGAGACACCTTTCACTAGACCAGGCTGCTCCAAGCTCCTTCCTGGCCTTGGACATTCCAGGGATGGGGAGCTGTTAAAACACTGTCTCCTCTTCCCTATCAATAAGATGAGGATAAATGTCTAGTCCTTCCAGTGAAAGTGATGTGGGTAAGGGATTGGAATTCCTCAGGAAAGCCCTGCAGAAGGGTAAGAGCATTCCTGGAGAGAAGCATTTACTGGGAATATCAGCAAGTTAAGGCTTTGCAAACAACACCAAGCAGGGGGAATTTGCTGGTTAATCCCATCATGGCTCTGGGAGGTGTTTTCCCCTCTCTCCTTCCTGCAAACAGTTGTTCCAAATCACCCCCAATTCCATCTCCTCTGGACAGAAGGAGTGGTTGTTCCTCCTGCATCAAATAACGAGCGTCCAGGAGGCCGCTGACACTCCCAGCCTGGAGCAGGCAGATAAATCCTCCCGCCGGTGCCGACGCTGCCGATCCATCTGCTCTCCATCCCCAGACAGAGACAGAGGGAATGGATACCACCATCTCCCGCATCCCTGAGGGACATCTATTAGCTGGTTACGTAATCCAACCACCAGCACGGCGCTTCCAAGGACTACAAAGCCCTTCCCCTTAATGCCACCGGAGATTAGAGCCAATCGAAGGCGAGTGGGAAGCGGGAGAGGGGCTGCGGGCGAGCTTCTGCTGGCAGAAAATGCTGCAGTCTCTCCCCTTAATGCACTCTAAATCCCAGCTGACTTCCAACTCTGCTGCTAAAAAAAATAAAAAGGAAAAAAAGGAAAAAAAAAAACCACCCTAGCCCAGCCTGCATCCTGCATTAAAGTGATACTAAAGCTGGGGGAGAGAGGTGGAGCCACTCCGGGAGGGTGAGTTTCTGGGGGAAGCATCCAGAGGAATCCAGAGCTGAAAGCATTTTGGGAGCAGGCCAGAGGGGTGCAGATCTGCTGAAGGGCACCCACGTGCTCTGCCAAAGCTGATTAGTTGCTGGTTTTGAGCATCCAGGGGCAGATCCTCCCTCCGATAAACAGCCGTCACTTATCGCCCTCCCGGCGAGTGGAACACGATGCACCCTGACCCTTCCCTCGCTGACAGATGCCTTCCCAGCTCCCAGGGCAGGCATTTCTCTTCGTTCCTGCTCCCTCTTCAGGCTGGCTGACTGCACGGCAAGGCAATCAAACCAACTCCGAGGCAAACGCCTCTCCCACTGCCCAGTTCTTGCTGCCAACCGAATGTACCGACGTTGCAAAGCCAGCACGTTCCCGGCGAGACGAGGATCTGGAAGGGCTTGGATGGAATTCAACCTCGAGGTCTCATCCTACCAGATTCCTGCTTTCCATGCCAAGTGACAAGGCAGGAAGTCACTGCTGTGCCACCTGACCTCACGTGCTGGGACCCCATTGACAATTAACGCCCAAACAGCCCCATACTGAAGGCGCCGTTTCTTCATGACTTCACCCTCTGTGCCCTTCCTGAGCTTATTTTGACAAACCTCCTTCCATTTAATCCAAATAACCACTGAGTTTCTTCTCTGAACTTTGAAAGTGTCCCAGGATCAGGCTGGGATCACCGAGTCAAGCCTATGACCCCACACCACCAAGTCACCCAGCCCAGAGCACCCAGTGCCACGTCCAGTCCTTCCCTGGACACCTCCAGGGTCAGGCAGAAGCTCAGAGCAACTGGAGGCAGTGGATGAGACACATTTGCACATTCCAGTAGCATCCCTTGAACCAAGTTCCATGGATTTAGTTTTCTTTCATAGGAGATTAGTTTGAGGAGCTGCAAAAAGCCACCAGACTTGGCAGAAGAGGCTCCAAACAACAGGTGAGAAATGGTACAGAGAATCCCTAAAACTAAAGGATTGACTGTGGGGGCAAGATGGGAAAATAAAGCAGGAGGCAAATGACATCTGAGGGACCCTGGAAGGTCTCACCTGAGCAGAAAAGCAAGAGATGCTCAAGAGCAGCCCCAAACCCACAAAACAAAAGCTTTGAGAAGGGAAGGAAATGAGGAGGTTATAAAATGTTGGTCATTCTCTCATGGGGAAGAGTTTGGTTATTGAGTTTGTTGTGGCACCAACTGGTTGTGTTGGCTGATCAAGGCTGGTCCTCCCTGTGCTGGGGCAGATGTAGAATAGGGAGGAGTTTTCCCCCAAAAAAACCCTAAGGATAAAGAGGAGGGAAAGAGCAGAGCCACCAGCACCATGGAAGCAAACGAGAGCTCAGTGCCACCTTTTCCTTCAGAGGCACAACCTGCTCAGTGACCACCTGCAGCTGGAAATCCTACCAGCAAACACCTGGCATTTCAGCAAAAGGAGAGGCAGATCCTCGAGGTAAGAGCCCAGGAAAAGCAACCAGAGGAATTCCAGCTCCCCAGCAGCCTTACCATTGGCATCCTGGACGCCGGTGAGGGCTCCGACCGCCGCCGCCGTTTCTCCAGACAGGACTATCTGTCCCCCCCCTTGGAGAGTGGCTTCGGCCAGCGTGGCCACGGCGTGGGCAGCAGCTTCACTGTGGGCACGGAGGGGAGAGAGGACAATCAGGAACACCAAACCCACCAAACAATTCCACTTTAACCGGGCAATGCATGGCAAGAGAAATCCACCCCAGGCCCAGGTGAAGCACAAAATCTACACTGGAGGGGGAATTCTGTGGGAAGAAGGTGGTTCCAGTGGCCCTTTTGAGTTTGGAGAGGTCTTAGAACATCCCTGTCCTTCGCATCCTTTCACCTGGGGTTCACTAAAACTTCGGGACAATCCAAGCTGTTGTTCCATGTGGCTCCTTCCCACCCCTGGTTTCAGGTACAAAACTCATCCTTTTGGCACCTTCTGGGGCTCTGCAGATTCCAGGGCTATTCCCTTCATCCCTGACTCTGCCAGGTCACCTGGCAGTGGGACAGGCCGTGCCCAGGATCCTCCCACCAGCCCTGTCCCAGGCAGTGGTTTAACACTGCTTTTTAACGAGCATTATCTGGAGCGCAGGATTGTTTGGTTTCCTCACCCAAACGAGGCCAGAGCGAAGGGCCTGCTCCTGGAGCAGCCCTGCTGTGGGAACAGATATTTGGGGAGCAGTGTAGATGATCCTTTCCTTCCTGCACCCTCCCAGCTTCCCAGAGGCTGCATCTGCACTGGCAGCTTGGATTTGTCTAATCCCCTTGGAAACCCATCTTACACTTTTTGCTTCCACAGCATCTCAGAGCAACAAATTCCACATTTAATGAGAAGAAAAATGGAACGATGGTTCTGCACCAACCCCGGCCTCGGCCTGGCTGGGCGGCCCTTTGGCCTGATGTTGTGAGGGGCAGAAAAGAACTGTTCCCCTTCTGTTTTCCTCATGGTTTCATAGACTTCCAGTAATCTCCTTCCCAAGCTGAAGAGGACTGTGGAATGGATTATCTCTGAGCTTTGATCACTCTTGTCCTTCCCAGACTTTTCCTGTTCAAGGGGAGTGACCACTATCTTGCACTAGATGCAACAAGTTAGTCCAGAGGCCTAATCCTGGCTTGTCCTTTGTGCCTTTCCCTCTAATTCCCAATATTCAACTTACTTTTTCAACAGTATCTGCTCAGCAGGGATTAAAAATTCCTGACCTGGGGCAGTGGTGGCCCTGGCAGTGCTGGGGGATGGTTGGACACCGTGGTCTCTGAGGGCTTTTCCAACCAAAACAACCTGATGATTCTTATGATTCTACTTCAGAAACATTTGGGAAAAACCCCCAAAGACCTTTAGGAGAAACCCCACAGACCGAGGCTGTGGAGGAGACTCTGAGCCTGGAAGAGGCAGCAGGAATCAGGACCTGTCCTGCAGACCCCCGGACAACGCCTGGCACGGGAATTCCCGACGGAGAAGCCTCTCTTAGGATTGTCCAGAGGGGAATGAAAAGCCTGGAGGTGCCCTGTGTTTGCAGCCCCCATACCTGTTGAGGGCCATGGTGACAGTGGCTCCCTGCTGCATCTCCTGGGACGCTGCCACCGCCGCCTCTGCCAGCGACGCCACCGCCTGCGTGGCCTCCGACGCCTGCGTCGTCTGGATGGTCATCTCACCCCCCTGCAGCGTCGCCCAGTTCTGCTCCACCTGCCAGGAAAACACAGCAGGGTTGTTGCTGCACCCTCAGATCACGGGCTGGGATCTGATTAATTAGCTCTGCTTAATGGCCATAAAGAAAACACAACCAGTTCCACCTCAACATGAGGAAGAACTTCTTTCCGTGGAGCTCTGGAACAGCTGCCCAGGGAGGGTGTGGAGTGTCCCTCTCCCCAGACATTCCAACCCCACCAGGATGAGCTCCTGTGTCACCTGCTCTGGGTGGCCCTGGTTGCACTGGGTGATCCCCAGAGGTCCTTCCAACCCCAATAATTCTGGGATTCTGTGTTTCTGCAGTGCTGGAGCCCCAGCACAGATCAGATCCCTCAGGGAAACGGGCTGTGCTTGCCTCACAGTTTCCATTTGCATCATCCACTGCCATTCTGGGGAACGATCCCTGTTCCCATTTGGGATTTCTTTGTACAGCACCTGAAAATTCCAAGGGGTTTGAGCCAGCTGGGATGTCTCTCTGCTGCTCAATAAAAGATGACAGTGGATGGGAGTGATCTGTTCATGTACCTCAGGTACTTTCAATTCCCTGACTCCAGACTTTTCCATTAATAAATATCATATTCCTTAAAGTTCACCCATTTCAGTTGCTCATTTCCCACCTTTCTCCGTTTGGGACTTCACAGCTCATGACACAATGAATGTGTGGCCACAAAACCCACCAGGATGGGAACCAGAAACATGGACTGAACCCACCACAATCCCAGTGGCTCTGTGCTCTGTAACAGGGATGGAATAAGGAAAGAAGGAGAGGAAGGAGGGCCTTTCCAGGCTCTTGTCCCCACTAACAGGAAGGTTTTGCTGCTGGAATATTTTGGGAGGATTGAAAATAACCTTAAAAATAATCCAGTTGCACCCTGTGGGAAGACACCTTCCACCGGCCCAGGTCGCTCCAAGCTGGCCCGGGATGGATGAGCCCCATCCAGCCTGATTTGTGCCTTTGGAAAATTCCTTTTCAGCTCTCAGGAGATATTAAAAAAACCCTTGGAAAGCCTGGGGGCAGCTGCCAAGTGCTTCAAGGTCACACTCCAGGCTCCTGGGAGCAGGGATGGGAGCAGGGGCTGCAGCTCAGCAAAGCTGTTCTGTGCTGCCACCTCTCGCCAGGACACCCAGAGGGACCTGCAGCCTCGGGGAAGGGGGATCTGGGGAAGAAGAAGGAAATTTTAACCAAAAAAAAATTCATATCCTTGAAAGAAGGCTCCTTAAACACACAGAAAAAAAGTGTTATTTGATTTAAAAAAAGCGGTGGGAAAATAAATGTCTGCCAAGTATAAGTGTTCAGGTTTAGGTAGCACTGAAATGCCAAACAAAATACAAAATAAATCACCTACAGGAGGCACATTGAAATGCTAAAGAAAAGGTAAAATAAATAATCTGTTGGAGGTATAAAAAAATGGAGGAAATTCAGACTTAAGGTTTCCTCCATAATTTTGTCTGTAGAGTCCTGAGTCAAAACAGCAGCTCAGCACTAAATCCACAAACCCCCTCTATTATTTGATTTAAAAAAAGGTGGAAAAATAAATGTGTGCAAGTGTAAGGGCTCAAACTTAGGCTCTGAAATGCCAAACAAACACAATAAAAAATTAATTTTTTGGAGGTGGAAAAAAATGGATGAAATTCAGACCTAAGGTTTCCACCATCATTGTGTTTTTAGGGTCCTGAGTCAGATTAAGAGCAGTTCAGCACCAAATCCACAGAAAAAGACTATTATTCGATTTAAAAAAGGTGGAAGAATAAATGTATAGAAGTTTAAGTGTTCAGATTTAGGCACTGAAATGCCAAACAAAATACAAAATAGATAATCTATAGGAGGTATAAAAAATGTATGAAATTCAGACCTAAGGTTTCCATCATCATGGTTGTACAATCCTGAGTCAAAATAACAACAGTTCAGCACTAAATCCACAGAAAAAACCCACAATATTTGATTAAAAAAAGGTGGGAAAATAAATGTATAGAAGTTTAAGTGTTCAAGTTTAGGCAGTTCAGATTTTGAAATGCCAAACTACATACAAAATAGATAATCTACAGGAGGTATAAAAAAATGGATGAAATTCAGACCTAAGGTTTCCACCATAATTGTGTTTGTATAACCCTGAGTCAAAATAACAGCAGTTCAGCACCAAATCCATAGAAAAAACCCTGTTATTTGATTAAAAAAAAAAGTGGAAAAATAAATGTATGGAAGTTTAGGTGTTCAGATTTAGGCACTGAAATGCCAAACAAAATAATCTACAGGAGGTATAAAAAAATGGATAAAATCCAGACCTAAGGTTTCCAAGGAGATATAAATAAAAATGCATCGAATTCACCCCTAAGGCTTCTACCATAACTGTGTTATTTTGTTAATTCTCTTGAATTTTGTTTGTAGAGTCAAAATCACAACAGGTCACAATTCTGTGACTCTGTGATCTAGAAAATGATGCAGAAATTCACATCCCCTGTGCACTGACCCCCAGCTCTCGGCATTGTCTGGGATCACCTGACTGTAGGGACTGTGGGATGAAGCTCAGAGGGGCCTGTCCTGGCTGGAGCCCCCCAGAGCTGCCCCAGGGTCTCCCCTGTCCTGGCTGGAGCCCCCCAGAGCTGCCCCAGGGTCTCACCTCTCCATCAGCCACTGCAGAGTAGTTCACTTGTGCCACGGTGACCGTGGTGGGCAGCTCGGAGGCGTCGGCCAAGGTGGCCACCGTGGCACCGGTGCCAACCTGAGGGACACGACAAAATGGGGCTGAAAACACCAGTTGTTGCAGGAGAAAGTCCATAAAATTCAGGTTGAAAAAGCAAAGGATAAAGGGTTTCACTGTGAGGGTGGTGTGAGAAGCTGGCACAGGTACCCAGGGAGGCTGTGGGTGCCCCAGCTCTGGGAGTGTCCAAGGCCAGGCTGGGACAGCTGGGGGGGTTCCCCTGGAGAAGGGAAGGCTCCAGGGAGACCTGAGAGCCCCTTGCAGGGCCTAAAGGGGCTCCAGGAGAGCTGGAGAGGGACTGGGGACAAGGCATGGAGGGACAGGACACAGGGAATGGCTTCCCACTGCCAGAAGGCAGGGATATTGGGAAGGAATTCCTGGTGTAAACTAAAGACCGGGGGCACAGAAATACCTGATCTGTTGATTAAACTATGTTTTATGCCATTAAAAGAGAGCAGTTCCACCACCTCTGCTCCCATGGCCACCACAGGCCTTGTGTGGTGACACCAGGAACTGGACTTGTTCGTTAAGTGGTTTCACCAAACTCAGCTCAGACCCCTGAACTGCAGAAATCCAAGGGATGGGAGTGGGGAAGGGAGAGATAGAACTGGTTCTCTGGGTGGGAGTGCTGGGTTAACAAACCTGAGGGGTGAGACCTGCAGATAAAGCCAGAATTCCCTGACACAGACAGTGAAATCGCAGTCAGCTGTGCTGGGAATGGGAAATGCATGGGGTGCCACTCACCTGGATGAGGGACACGGTGCCATCGGGGTTGCTGAAGGTCTGTACCACGGTCTGGGAGGGCACCAGGTGGGCGATGCTGTGCGTGGTCGTGGTCTGCGGGGTCTGCTGGTCCTCGAAGGCGTAGAGCAGGTCCTCGCGCCCGTGCTGCTTGTAGCAGTTCTTCACGATGGTCCTCAGGGCCTGGGTCCAGGACACCTGCCAGCACCAGGAGACGAGGGGAGAGTCAGGGGGGAGGTTTTCTGAACTGCTCGGACTTGAATGTTTATCTTTGATGGGGTTTATTGGGTGGTTTGGAACCAACTCGCAAACAAAAGGCCTCACTGAGTAATCCCTGTCTCCTCATTCCCTCCTTCGTCCAGGACTCAGAAATCACCCTGGAGGGCAACAGGGTCTAGGGAAGATGTCCCTGCTCACTGCAGGATGAGATGACCTTTAAAAGGGCCCTTCCAACCCAAACCATTCTAGGTAGAAAACCACCCTGATTCAGGAAAGCACCAACTGCCACAGCACCCTTTCCAGCCCCAACTGGAATCCCTCCCCATCCAACGTGTCCTAAATCACCCCACACAAGTCCTGCTGCTTCCACACCACGGTGGCTTCCTCTGAAGACCTTAATGACAGAAAAATCACCTGTGTGGTGGCATCCACAGCCACAACTGGCACCCACCATCCCTTCACCCAGCTCTCTCCCTTTTCCCCTGCACTATTTCCCTTGAGCACAAAGGTCCCTCCTGCTCAGGACGGGACGGTCTCCCTTCCAAGACTCTTCCTCCTGTCCCTCAAGGGCAGAACTCCTCCCAAAGCACTGTCTGCAGGCCCCTGTGCTCAGCTGGAGGGCAGCCAGGGGGGACACTCACCCGCTGCTTCTGCTCCTCTGTGCGGACGTCGCTGCGGACGTTGGCCCAGGGAATGTCCTCGGGCCACCAGATGGGTTTGCAGCTCTCCTTGCCCCAGCCCGGCTTCCCACGGCCCGTGGAATACTTGAGCATCTCAGGGATGAAGGCTCTCAGCTGTGCCTGCAACAAATCACAGCACAGGGGTGATTTCTAGGGTCTGTCATCTCTGGTGGTTTTGAGGTGCTTCAAGGTTATCACACGGCGCAAAGTTACTCCGTTTGACTTCCATCCTGTTGGAGCCACCAGCTGGGAGAGGCCTGAGTGCCAAGGCAGATGGACAGTACCTTAGCATCTCCCAGATTCAGCTTAGAGTCTGGGAAGAGCAGAAACACAGTCAAGTCAGCTAATTACAATAATAAGGCACAAACACGTGTTGTGTTAACACACTTTATGGTTAAACTCTACCATGAAGAGAGCAGGCCAGCCTCAAAGGGAGAAAATAAATAAACAGATCAGGATAAGGCAGAAAAAACCCCAGAATGTCCTCAAAGTGGCAGCAGCTCAGATGTGAGCTGGTGTGTATTTTACAGAGATGCTGCAAAGAGGATGGAGCTCCAGGGGCTGCTCGAATGTGAAAACCACAATCTCACACTTCTCCACCCCTGTGCTGCCAAAGAAATTACAAAACCCACACAGGGTTTTATGACACAATTGGGTTTTGTGCCAGGGATTCCTTGGAGTGTCAGGGAAAAGGCTGGTTCAGCTGCAGAACGGAGCAGGAACAGAAGGAGCTCTCACCTCATGTCACATAAAATCACTTTATCTTAAAGCTTAAAACCTGCATCCTTTTTGAGCTTTTATATTTAAGTTATTTCATAGAATCGTGGGATCCTTCTGGTTGGAGAAGACCTTTAAGGCCATGGAGTCCAAACACTGCCAGCTCTGCCAGGGCCACCACTGACCATGTCCCCAAGTGCCACATCCACAGGGCTTGGAAATCCCTCCAGGGCTGGGCACTCCAGCCAGTTCCAAGGCCTGACTACCCTTTCCAGGAAGGAATTTTCCCCAATATCCAACCTGCCCCTCCCCTGGCACAGCTTGAGGCCCTTTCCCCTTGTCCTGTCCCTGTTCCCTGGGAGCAGAGCCCGACTCCCCCCGGCTCCCCCCTCCTGGCAGGGACTTGCAGAGCCAGAAGGTCCCCCCTGAGCCTCCTTTTCTCCAGGATGAGCCCCCCCAGCTCCCTCAGGAGTTCTCCACACCCTTCCCAGCTCCCTTCCCTGCCCTGCACACACTGGTGTATCCATTGGCTCCAAGCTGGACATGAACTCGTTTCCAAGCTGCCTTTTCCACGTTACAAATGGAATATGTACTAAAGCACCTTCTTCCCAGCCCAGGCCAAGCCTGTCCATGATCCACCTTCCACTGCAGGACCAACATCCACCCTCACGTGTCCAGGCTCCCTGTCGAGGCCCCAGTTATTCACACCAAGCTGGGAACAGCAGATTTCTGAGCTGCCCGGTGCAAAAACAGTTAAAAGCTCCTTCCCTGAACTGCAACGAGCTCCTTGTTTCCAGCTGGATTAATTACTGGTCCATGGGAGTTCAGGGCTCAAGCTACTCAGGGTACTCGTTAAGGAGGGTTTGTGTCTAATCCACCAGGGAGACAATCAGCAGCACTGTCACAACCTGCTCCAGAGCCAGCACTTCACTAATTAGTGCCCTAACGAGGCCTGGCCCGGCGGCTCCAGGGGCTCTGACACCGGGCAGGGCCCCCACAAAGAGCCCCCAGCCCTCGGGGTGTGGCTGTGCCCACCTCACCTGGGGGAGCCTCGGTGCTGCCACCTCCACCAAGCACCCAGGAACCAAACACCTGCTGGGGACAACGCTGGCACATTCCAGTTTGTGCCACTGTCACCTCTGGGAAGGGCCCATTAAACAGCCAGGATGGGGGGCTGGAGGGAAACTGGGAGAGATGTTTGGCACCCTTTGGTCTGAGTGTTTGCCAGCTTTAACGTCAGGTCCAGGTGTTAACGGGGCTGAGCTGATCCTGGTTCTACCATTTCCAACGGTCCAAAGCACAGACAACTGCATTCCAACTGTAAACCCACATAAAGAAATAATTCTAAACCATAGATTATAAATCACTATAATCATGGTAAAAGATTAGAGGTCTTTTATAAACTTCAGACAAATGATGATGTTTAAAAAAAGGTGGATTAAAGGACAAACCACCAGCTTAGAAATCCAGTTGTGGGTACCTCAGTGGGAGCCACCTGAAGTTTAGGGTTTGTATTTTTTATTTTTAAAATATTTTTATTTAATATTTTTATTTTTTATTTTATATTTTTTAATTTTTATTTTAAATTTTAATTTTTATTTTACAGTTATTTTTAGATTCACATTTGTGGGTTTATATTCTCAAGCTATATTTTCACATTTACTTTTATATTTATATTTTATAGTTACATTTTTACATTTATCTTTATATTTATATATGTGTGTTAGAGTTTTTTTACATTTATTTTTATATTTTAAATTCTATTTTATCTTTGTATTTTATAGTTAAATTTTGCATTCATTTTTCTATTTATACTTGTATATTATAGTTATATTTTTACTTCTTTATATTTTTATATAATTATATTTGTATATCTTATATATTTAAATTTATTTTTATATTTTAGTTATATTTTTACACGTATTTTTATATTTATAGCTGTATGTTATATTTTTACATTCGTATTTAGATTTATATTTTATAATTACATCTTTACATTTGTACATTTTAATTTTTAAAAGTTCTATAATTATATTTTACATATATTTTTATATTTTATAATTATATTTTTAATTTTATTTTATAATTATATTTAACATTTATTTTATATTTTATAATTATATATTTAATTTTTTAATTTTATCCTTATATTTTTACATAGATATTTGTATGTTACATTTCCGTTTTCACATTTACATTTTTTATATTTCATAATTATAGCTTTACATCTATTTTTCTATTCGGCTTTTATATTTTATATAAATATTTCAATCTACAAACGTTTTCCCCGTTCCCCATTGGCCCACACAGCTCCAGGGGGAGCAGCCTGAGCTCTCCTCCTCCCCACCCACCGTTTCCACACGGAAAACATTTCCACTGGAAAAAACAAGCACCAGTGGCACAACCAACACCCCCAGCTGCGGCCTGAGCTGTCCCAGCCCACGGGGAGGAGATGAGACCCGTCCCCGGGGATGGGACACCCCAATCTTCCAGCCCCGTCCCCTGGGGATGGGACACCCCAAACTTCCTGCCCTGGGGATGGGACACCCCAAACTTCCAGCCCCGTCCCCTGGGGATGGGACACCCCAACCCTGGGCTGCGGCTGCCACAGCCACCCGTGCCCCTCTTCCCGTGCTCGGGGTGCTCACCTGGGTCATCTTGTCCACGGAGACGGGGATGCCGTCGATGGTGAGGGGGGGCAGCTCCGAGTTCACCTCCTGAGGCGCCGGCGCGTGTTCTGCCAGCGCCGACTCCAGGTCCTCCAGGATGGTGCTCTTGTACTTGCGGACCTGTGGGGGTTGTTAAGCTCGGGTAAACAGTTCTAGGGCAGGGATGCAGCGCCAGGCACCTTCCCCAAGGAGCAAACAGGGCCACAGCTGGCAGGAAATACCCACAGGCACCGAAGGCCTGGGCAAATGGAAGGGCTGCTGATGAAACAGGGAGAAACTCTGGCAAGGGAAGGGTTTAGGGGGTGAGGAGGAAAGTCCTGAGGCAAGACTTGACGTGGTCAGGGTCTGCAACAAAAGGCAAGAACTGACAGAAGAGCTGAGTTTAAATAGTTCATGCTTTGGGGTTGTTCAGCCTGGAGAAAAGGAGGCTCAGGGGGGACCTTCTGGCTCTGCAAGTCCCTGCCAGGAGGGGGGAGCCGGGGGGGGTCGGGCTCTGCTCCCAGGGAACAGGGACAGGACAAGGGAAACGGCCTCAAGCTGTGCCAGGGGAGGCTCAGGTTGGCCCTGAGGAGGAATTTGTTGCTGGAAAGGGTGGTGAGGCCTTGGCAGGGGCTGCCCAGGGAGGTTTGGAGTGCCCAGGCCTGGAGGTGTCCCAGGCAGGCCTGGCCGTGCGTGGCACTCAGTGCTCTGGGCTGGGGGACAAGGTGGGGATGGGGCACAGGGTGGATCCATGGGCTGGGAGGGCTTTTCCAACCTCAGGGATTCTGGGATTGTGTGATCACTACCTGGTCCCTCTCATGTTTACTCCAGGACATTCAGCCCTGGTGAGATGTGCCAGGCAACCATTCCCACAGAGCAGGGAGGGCCTCAGCGTGTCCTCACGCCACAGAATCCCTGAGGCTGGGAAAGGCCTCTGAGATCACTGAGCCCAAACACAGCCTGACACTGCCAGCTCCACCACTGCCCCTGAAATCCCAACTCCCGTTCCCAGGGTTTTGAACACGACTCCCAGCCCTGCGAGGCTGCCCCGAGCAGAACGAAACCCGCAGGGCAGGCGAGGAAGTCGTCACCTGACCTCCCTGGAGACACCTACCACGTTCTCCAAGGGCGCGGCGCCGAACACTTTGAAGACGGGGTTGGGTTTGGAGGGTGAGATGCAGAGCACGATGGCCTGCTGCCCCACGCGCGTGGTGTACTCGTCCAGCGTGGCCCGGAGCTTCCTGCAACACAGGGACACACCGGGGGATGGGGGTCAGCTGAAAGCCCTGGAGAAACACAACCCCTCTCCTTCTCTTCACACTGCTCATTCACAAGGCAGGAGAGGGACAGAGCCCAGCTGGGCAGGTTGGCCCCATGTCCAGGGTATCCCTGCGCTCCCCCAGCAGCTCAAATGTCAATTATTCCCCCTCCTCTCCTTTTGCCAGTGAGGTAAAAAGAGAAAATCAGCAAAGCTGGGACAGCAAGAGGCTGCACTGCTCTGGCCCAGCAACACAAAACCTGGAGTGTGTCAAATCACTTGAGGGACTCAACAAAAGAAAGCTGCAAACACAGGTTCTTCTACATCCACATCGTAACAGTGCAGTTCTCCAGTGCCAAAGTCCTGCCCAAACCAGAACTGTAAGAAGTCAAGCTGCAGGACAGGCAAGAAGCAGAAATATTGCAACAGCTCAGCTCGGGAAACCCAGGTGTCCACACAGCTCAGCAAGTCCCTCTGGAATGATCCCTCTGTGGGAAGAAAATGTTCCATCAGGTACCTTCTGCCTCTTACTCACTTCTGAGCAGTGCAGGAGAACGTGGCGGAAATGTTGCCAGAAAGCCCTGCAGCAAGAGGGAAGCAGCATTTCCCTCAGAAACCTGAGCTCTCCAGCAAGTTGACAGCTCGTGGTGCTGGTGCTTTTTGGCAGGTTCTGGGGTGACCAAGTCACCCCAGAACCTGCCAAAAAGCACCAGCACCACGAGCAGCTACTCAGAGATCCCAGAATGAGGAGATTTAACTTCCCACTTGATTCCCAGGGGGGGTGAAAGTCAAGCAGGAACACGTTAAACTGATCAGAGTGCAAAAAAAAAAAAATTATGCACTTTGTCAGTATCTTACATGTGGTAAAATGAAGCAGTTTTGTGAAGGGGAGAAGTAATCCCTTTATGGACGAGTTTCTTTTAAAATATAATGTTCATATTTCAAGGGAGAAAAGAATTTGCTCTTCAGAAAGGTGGCTGAGTCAGCAGAGCTGGGGGAGGGAAAAACCAGAGTGGAGCTCTAAAAGGAAGGGATTTCTCTCCCCAGGAATATTATTTAACACCAACCCTGCCCAACTCAATCCAAACCAGCATAAAAAGCAAAAAGTGCTCTGTTGCAAACGCTAGAAAATGGTGCCAGCCAATGTTTATCGGTGTTTCCAGAGGATGGAACTGCTGTTTCCAGGCTGGGCAGTGCCTCTGGTGCTGCTCGGAGGCCCCCAGGTGGGCAAAGAGCCTCAGAGCACCCGCAGTGCAGCACCTGCAGGGCTCTGGGGGCTGCACAGCAACTTTACAAAGCCCCCCAAAACAAGTGTTTCAGCTCGGTCAGGCATCCCCCTTTGAGTGTTCTCCCCCAGAACTGTGCTCTACAGGCCGGGGGAGCCTTCAGCGTGGAGCTTGTCCACTGGCAAGGGAAATCTGGATAAACACACACTGAATTTGTTCTCAGAACTGTTTCCTTGTGCAAAAACCTTTTTTTGTGAGGCAGGTCAGTCCTTTATGGCCCTGCAGAGCTGGGATGTGGATGGAGCTCCAGGTTCTCAGGCCAGAGAATGTAGAAGTACTGTTAAAAACTGCTTTCTTTCCTCTGTGAGCAGGGACAGGACCCAGGGAAGGGCTGGAGCTGTGCCAGGGAGGGTGAGGCTGGATATCAGGACAAGGTTCTTCCCCCAGAGGGTGGTTGGGCACTGAGCAGGCTGCCCAGGGCACTGTCCCCAGAGCTCCAGGAGTTTTAGGACAACACTCCCAGGGACAGGGTGGGATTGCTGGGGTGTCTGTGCAGGGCCAGTGTTTGGATGAATGATCCCTGTGGGTCCTTTCCAGCTCAGGATAGTCCATGATTCTAAAGCCACTACAAACAAGTTTCAAGGCCCTGTTACTGTGACACATTTCACTGGTGACCAGGGTTAAAACACAACGGTGGATCCACCAGCAGGGTCATGCCAGTGATCATAAAACCACTTCAAAGAGGAGTAGGGCTGGGATGTAACCCATGTCTGCAAACTGAAACACAGCTCTTGGGTTCTAGAAAGATACCACCAAAAAAAAAATCTCCAATTTCTGTAACTTCTGGACCGACCAGCATGGAGGTGGATCAAGGACGCAGCCTGAGGTGTCTGAGGGCAGGGGGGAATCCTTACCTGGGCAGAGGTGTCTGAGGGGAGGTGGGACCCTCACCTGAGCAAACGTGTCTGCTGCCTCTTCCTGATGGATGGGTTGGATTCAAAGACGTGGGGTCGCTTCCGTTTCTTCCCCGTGGCCACGGCAGCGGCTGCTGCCATCCCAACAGGGCCTGGAAATGCAACCACAAGGGGGGAATCAGCACAGGCAGCTTGGGAACTGGCCAGAAAGGGCCCCCCCGCCCAGGGATGTGTCCCAAGGCTGTCCAAGTGACACAAATTCCTTCCTGAGCTCTCCTCTCCAGCATGGCGGAGGTTCCACCAAAAGGCTCCGTTCCCCAGATCCCAGCCCAGGCCCAGGGAAAGTCACGTGTTTTGGTCTAAAGTTTTCCACACAAACACATCATTCTGTATTTTTATTTCTCAGACATACTGAAAACTTCCCAGGACTTTAAATAAGTGGCTGAACTGAGGAGATCCCAGTGGCCTGGGAGAAGAGATCTGGGTACAATGCTGGGAATCCTGCTTGGACACCTCAACAGGAGTCTGAGGCTTTTCCCCAGGGATTAAGGACCGGTTCTAATGGGAAAGAAACTGAAAATCCAGACTTCCTGAAAGTCCCCTGAAGACCACCTGGGCCTGAAAAACCTGTATGCTAGAAAGGAAGGGGGAAAGAATAAGTCCTGCAGGCTGGGAGGCTGGAAAATTCACCAGCAAGGACATGGGATGGTCAGTGGGCTGATGGAACCTCCCAGGCTTGGGTCAGCACATCAAGAGCTTTATTCACCCAACAAGATCTGACCCCAAACGCTGAGGGACTCTTTGGCACTGCATTTTTCTACAGGAATAGTGGATCCACCACAAGGCCAACGTGGATGACATTTGGCTTCACTGGAAGGAATCTAGGATTCCCAAATACTGTCCCAGCCCAGCTCTGCCAGGATCTTTGGTGGCATCTCCCTGGGAGAGGCCTAACCCGGCAGCTCCCGACTCAGCAAGACCTGGGTTATTTTTGCTGTTGTCTCCATGGGCCTGAAACAATTCTGCTCTTTGACATGCTGGGGACTTTAATTTCGTGAGCTGAGGCAGAGTTTTACCAGGGACCCTTCTGGATTGTCCAAACCAGCCTGGTATTCCCAGCTCCTCCATGTTCCACATACTGGGAGGTTCAGGGAGCACCCGGAGCATTCCGAGGGACGACATCACTCTCTGACAAATAATTGTTTCCTTTTTGCTAGCTTTCATATAATTTCTTTAACAGAATTGCTGTAATGTAATTGGTTGATATAGTACATTATATTATCTTTGTAGTTTTAGCTCCTATACTGTGAAGGAAACAAATCCAATTAAGATTTTTTTGTCTAATCGTTACCACAATAAATCATATATATTTACATACATATGATATATATTATATATATATAATATATAATATATAATAAAACATTATATAGTATATATTATATATAAAATGCAATATATTACATCATTATATTATTATACAAAATTTTATATATTTTGTAAGGATATAAATAATATATGATAATATAAAAAATTTTAAGAATTAATGAATGGGTAAGTATTTTAATCATTAATTAATGGTATTAATTTATATAATATTGTTATATGTTTATGTGATTATATAATAGATTACGATATTATATATTATTTATATACTTCTATGCATATATAATATATATAACAGAATATTATAATAATAAAATACAATATTATAGCATTATATATTACATAATATTAAGATATTTGTTATAGATATTATTTATATACATTAATTTAATTATGTAATGTCATATATAATATACAGTAACATAATATTATTATATAATAATATAACATTGGATTTAAATTATTATATATTACATAATATAAAAATATAATATATGTTAATTATATATTACAATATAATTATAACATATCAATATAATTATATTATAATTATATTAAGATATATTTATAGATATTATTTGTATACATTAATTTAATTATATGATTACATTAACGATGATTAATGATGATTAATTTCATTATATATGATCTGCCAGCCTCAACCCTGCAGGACAAAGCTGCACAGAGGCTCAGCCACACCCTGTGACTCCCTAGACTTAAAGCACTGCTCAGGTCTGGGGCTGGGACTGGATCTGGGGAGAAGGGGTTTAGAAGCCCGGGATGTCCCTCCTGCACGTCGGGAGCTCCTCTGGGCACCTGTGACCCCCCCGGCCCTGCCCGTGCCCCCTGCCCCGGGCTCACCTGCAGCCGCCAGGTGAGCCGTGACCTCGTCGGCGGCCGTGGAGTTGAGGATGTCGGAGTCGTCGTAGGACGTGTCCTCGGGGGAGGAGGGCGAGTCCTCGTCGGCGCTCAGCATGCCGTGCTCCGTGTAGGTGGCCACGTGCACCTGCTGCACCTGCTGGGCCACGGCGTGCGCCTCGATGGTCGCCATGTGCTCCGCCGGCGCCACGCCGTGCTCTTCCATCAAGAGGCACTGCCGGGGGCAGAAACCACAGTGACCGATTACGGACCCTGCCGGCAGGTTCTGGCCCAGAGGGACAGAGATCACCCCCCAGCAGTGGCCATGGGGGTCCAGGAGAAGGAAACGACCACCGGGAACTTAAAGAGCTTGGAACAATCCGCCCTTCCAAAGGACACGGCCCGGCCCCCACAGGCTGCCATCTTTGCTGGAGGGAAGGTCCTCAGGGATCTCAGAGCCCTCACAAGCTGGACCAAAGGGTCTGATCAAAGCTGGGACTTGGTTTAGCCACTCCAAGGTCCAGCTTTCAGGGAAGATGCCCAAGGGGGACACAAAATCGCCTCCGACCTCAATAGCTCAGGGCACAAACGAGGATAGCAGGACAGAATCCCAAAGTCACTGAGGATGGAAAAGACCTCTGAGATCATGGAGCCCACCCAGTGCCTGATGCCCACCTTGTCCCCCAGCCCAGAGCACTGAGTGCCACGGCCAGGCCTGCCTGGGACACCTCCAGGCCTGGGCACTCCAAACCTCCCTGGGCAGCCCCTGCCAAGGCCTCACCACCCTTTCCAGCAACAAATTCCTCCTCAGGGCCAACCTGAGCCTCCCCTGGCACAGCTTGAGGCCCTTTCCCCTTGTCCTGTCCCTGTTCCCTGGGAGCAGAGCCCGAACCCCCCGGCTCCCCCCTCCTGGCAGGGACTTGCAGAGCCAGAAGGTCCCCCCTGAGCCTCCTTTTCTCCAGGATGAGCCCCCCCAGCTCCCTCAGCCGCTCCTGCTGCTCCAGCCCCTTCCCCAGGAGTTCCTGAGGTCACTTTTGCTGCATCATTTGAGTCCAGAAACAGGCAAAATCATCCCGACCCAAGCCCAAACATGACATAAATCTTATTTATTTAATGCACCCGGTGGCAAAGCCCTGAGCAAAGGAGCAGCTTAAACACTCAGCAGGGCCCTGGACCACACGCCATGAACAAAAACCTGTGCAGGAGGAACGGGACGGGAGGCACACGGATATTTTCAGTCCCTGTCTCCCACACGTTCGTAGGAAAGGAACAGCACAGCCTGAAGGTATTTTCAAATAGAAGAATTTTCAAATAGAAGAATTAGGAACCCTCAAAAACAGACTCCCCAAAACCCTCAGGGCAAAGAGGAGAAATAAAGAGATGACCAGTTGTAGGGAATGATAAAATGTCCCCCTCAAAAAATCTGACCTTGTAAGTACAGTCAGAGAATTAAAGCTCTGGATTGACTGACACCAGATCATGGAATGCCATGGAGGGGTGGATGAGACAGTGGGATACAGACCAGGAAAAAACACTTTGTCAAGGGGGTTATTTTGACCCCTGAAAGGAGGTTGGAGCCAGTTTGGGGTTGGTCTCTTCTCCCAAGAAACAAGTCACAGGACAAGAGGGAACAGCCTCAAGCTGTGCCAGGGGAGGGGCAGGTTGGATATTGGGGAAATTCCTTCCTGGAAAGGGCTGTCCAGCCCTGGCACAGCTGCCCAGGGCACGGGAGAGTCCCCATCCCTGGAGGGATTTCTGAGCCCTGTGGATGTGGCATTTGAGGACGGGGTGGCCTTGGCAGTGCTGGGGACGGTTGGAATCTCCTATCCAGGCATACACTGGAGGAACTCAATCCTGAGGGACAGCAGAAGTGCTGCTGTGAGACTGTTCCAACCCTGCTGAGGTTATGGTTTGAGCCAAAGCAGCTTCAAGTTCCCAACCCTCCCTAGAAGGCTGCTGCAGTTCCGTGGTGCTGTTGTCCAAACCCTGTTTACAACTCGGGTTGTAACCTTAGAGCCACCCAAAAATAGCAGGAATTCAAACAGCCCCACTGAGGGAGGGACCCAGGCACTGAGGTACTCAGGAGCAGGCTGAAAAACAATCACTCCTATTCTCCTTCCAAGGATCTTATTTTGCCATCACCACAGAAAAATGGGGAAAATATTCCAAGCAAATCCTTGCTCAGCACCAGGGTTTCCCAAGCCACTGTGCTCCTCCTGAAAGGGTTTATTGCAATACAACTCTAATTATTTCTATTAAACTCTAGTTATTTCTAATTATTTCTATTAAAATTAAAATTTTAAACCCCCTGTTTATCCGCAGAAAAACATGCTCAGAATATAACTGACAAAGTGTGATAACCTGTCAGCTCATCGGGAGACAAGGCTGTGAGACAAGGGATGCTCCTGACACCCCTTCCATGGGAAGGGAACCTCCCAGTCAAGAGTCAACACCACTGACACCTTGGTTAGTCCTTCCTGTATTCCAGTCATTCCCCAGGGATTCCCGATTCTAGCCAGGCTTTGTGGGCAGACACGGTCACTGGCAGCTCCTGCAGGTGACCACCCACCTGTGGGTGCCCTTGTTGCCCCAGCAAAGCACCCAAAGGGTCTGCACGTGGATCTGAACAGGGACCCAGGCACAGGGGACGAAAGCAAAGCTGCTCCTGACTGATTTTAGGGATGAGGATTCATCATTCCAGAAGAGGAAACGTCTATTCCTGATTTTCTCCAAAGGAAACCCTGATGATACAGCAGGGCCTGCAAAGACATTTCCTGGGAGTCAGAGCTCAGTCCAGAAGCCTTGGATCACAGCCAGGAGCATTTTTAAAGACAAAGTGCTTTAAAAAAGACCAAAAAAAGAGGATCAAGTGCCTCTCCTCACACAGTGCAGCTGCCTGATGAGTGTGTCAGAGGTCCCTCTGGTGCCCTGTCAGCCGGGATCAGCGGCTGTCGACACCATGGCTGGAGGAGCTCCAGATGCAGGAGGAGCTGGAGGAGCTGAGCTGCACCACCCAAACCAGCAGCAAACAACGCAGACTGAACAAAACCCCCACAAACTCAACACTAAAGCCACAGGGACTGAAATGATGGCAGCAATTCATAACTCGAGCTGTAAAACCCACGTGGGCCAGCCCAGCATAAACAGCGTCCTCTGCCACCACCCTCACTTTGATGGGTGCTTTAAACTGAGCCCAAAATAAAAAGTCCACACTGAAAACGATGGGGAACAGCAGCAGGAGTGGAAAAACTCCCTTGCACAGACAGGCCTGGGATTATCTGTGACCTTTACCCCTCTGAAGGGTTTAGTTCAGGGGCTGCAGAAGACACAGAGTGAACGTGGAGATGGGCATTTACCTGCTGGAATGGTAAATTATGACAATAAATCATAATAAACCATTTTTACTAACTCATCCAACACCTCATTCACCTGAAACCCTGTTCAGACTAGCAATAATTTCTTTTCCAGTGAAACATCTGTCCCTCTGGAAACTGCACAAGGTTTTGGACAGGACTGGCTTTCCAGGAGTGGAGACATGGACTCCTGTCCCAGCACAGCCCATTCCTGGCCCAGAGGTGACAGAAGGCAGCAGTTTGTACCCTGCTGTGAAGGCTGAAGTGATCATCTAATTTGCCATGTCACAGAGATGGGGTGGGCACTCAGAGGAACAGCAGGAACCAGCTCTTGTTCCACAGCGTCCTCCTGTGGCACAAAACAGGGATAATGATCCTCTTAATTAGGACGGGCTAAAAACACCCCCCTGCACCCCCAGTCTCAGCAGGGAGGGACCTCAAATCAAAGGCACTGCAGAAAGCAAACCCCAGATTCCTTCTGCTCATCAGAATCTCACATCCAGGAGCAAACACATCCCACTGTGGGGAAAACTTCAGGGAAAAGGAACAAATCGGGTTTCACTGATGTTTGTCAGGCAGAAAACCTCCCGTTTGCTGCCCAAAGCCACCGGCTGGGGGTGTGACAGGACCCCATCTCATGGCACAGGATGAGATCTGAGCCAGGTCCTTTGGGCAGCCTCATTTGCCACGTTTAGCACCAAACACCATCGGGAAACCACGGGGTGAGCACAAGGATGAGGTCTGAGTCTCCTTGGAGACTCTTCTCAAGCTCTGGCACCAACAAATAACACCCCAGCAGAACCAACCCTCTCCATGAGGACACCAAGGAGAAAGGACACATTTAGCACATGGAAAACCACGGGAAGAGCAACCACCACACCCCAGCCTGTTCCAGTTGAGCGCAATCCAAAAGTGGAGGTCAGACTACACCACAAAATCACAAAGCCCGGGATGGAATTCCCATTTAACTCCCGTGCTCCCCCCAGGCTCTGCAGGTCTCACGTCAGGCAGGGGTGACTCTCCCTGGATCCACCTGTAACACCTGGGCCACAACTTTCTTCTCTGCAAGTGTTTTGCAGGATGTGCAGCTGGACACGAGTTTAGGAAACATAACACATGATAAATGCCACTCTCCAAGGTAATACTTTGTCACCCTAAAGGACCACCCAGAAATCCTGATTCCAAACCCTTTTCCTTCCACCTGCACAGCCCAGGAGTCGTTTTAACATCAGTTTAATTAAGTGAGTTACTCATCTTTAGTCAACTGAGCTTTTTTAATTAACAGGCAAAGTGGTCTTTTAAGAATTCCCAGTGAGCACAAGTGGCCTGTGGTGCTGGCTCACAGCATTCCTGGCATGGCAGGAAGGCACAGCCCTGGCTCCCCACGGGATTACTGCGGGAAGGACCGAGCACGGCCCGGCTGCAGCGAGGGGCAAATGTTCCTCTTTTAATCCTCTTTTATTGAGGGAGAGGATTAGAGGTTATGCTGGACTACCACAGAAAAAGGGGGTGGAGGTGGGTTGTGTGGAGGGCTGGGAGCAGGAGGGAGGTGATGGGACACCGAGCTCTGTACCCAGCAAGACCTGGAGGTGTGGAGTGTCACAACAACCCTGGTGTCCAGCAGGGATGAGGTGTGGCCAGCCTTGGGGGGATCCCAGAATTATAGGATATCCTGGGCTGGAAGGGACCCACAGGGATCATTGATCCAACCCTCGGCCCTGCACAGACACCCCAACAATCCCCCTGTCCCTCAGAGCGTTGTCCAAACCCTCCTGGAGCTCTGGCAGCCTTGGGGCTGTGCCCACTGCCCTGGGGAGCCTGGGCAGTGCCAACCACCCTCTGGGGGAAGGACCTTGTGCTGAGACCCAACCTGAGCCTGCCCTGGCACAGCTCCAGCCATTCCCTGGGTGCTGTCCCTGTCACAGGAGACAGAGCTGGTGCTGCCCCTCCTGAGGAAGCTGCAGACCCCAAGGAGTCTCCCCTCAGTCTCTTCTCCAGCTGAACAAACCAAGTGTCCTCAGCTGCTGCTTCCAGAGCCTCCCCATCCCTGTGTCCCCTCTCTAACATCCTGAGGTCTTGTTTTTCACACCGAGGTGCCCAAAATGCCCACTGAGATGCATCCCCTCAGGGACTTGGTCCTCACATGGCATTAACCCAACAGGATGAGCAGAGGATAAAACCCCACAGCATCGGTCCCCACCACGTTTAATCATCAACCTGCCACCCAAACAGCAGCCTGGCCAGCCCTTCCTGGTGATCTGTCCCTGGTGCCGCCTCCAGGGAGATCAGGAATAGCACAGGGAGGATCCCAAAGCCAGAACGAACGGCCCCAGTGTGACTGGGCTGGTTTCAGACAGGCTGGTGCCACCTCAGCGGGCTGAGGAGGGCACAGGTGTCCAACCTGCGTGTGCAGATGGGCCCAGGTAACAAACCTGGCACTGATGAGCTGCCCCAGAGCTCAAAAATGAAACAAAAATCCCTGTCCTGCTGCAGTGTTGTCCTTGCACCCTTTCAGTTCCTTGTCCCTGTGGCACCTCCACTCCCCAGCCAGCAGCTCAGGCAGCACCTCCTCCTGCCCCCATTGAGGGCCCCGTGCCTTTGGAGCCACATCCCAGTCTGACCAGTTCCCTCTGCCTCGGGATTGCACCCTGAGCCACAGCAGGGAGGAGAGAGACCACTTGGAAGGTGTTTCAGTGCCTCTCTGGGCCTGGGAGGAATCTCAGCACTGCCTGGAGGGACCTGCACGCCCCAAGAGCTGCTCCCAGACCCTTCCCAACCGTCCCTGGGAAAACAGCACCCAGCACATCCCGGGACATACCCCCCTGGGGCACCATTAGCAACTCAGGGCCTCAGAAACCCCGTATTTATTTAAAAAAACCCCCAAAACATCCCAACAACCTCCAAATCCTCAAAGCAGTAATTGTCCCCACCATCTAATATATCACATACACTATATATATATATATATACACCCCAACCCTATATACTAGATATATAACCTAGAATATATCTATTTGCAGATATACAGATCTATATGTAGGGTATATAAAGGATGCTGAAACCTCTACGCTGTGGCCACACAAAATGATTGAAAACTCAGGTCATTGTGCCTTCAAAAAGAATTATAAAAGTTAAATCAGCTGATCATAATACACTCTGATAAAGTTTGGTTTCAAGGTATTATTCTACCTAAGTTTGTAGGTTGTTTATTTTTCCCCCTGGAGCTGTTTCAGGGGGGTTGGGCATTCCCAGAATTCCAGCACACCCCTGGCATGAACTAATCCATCTGTGCTCACACAGGGAAGAATCCAGGGAATCCCCTTCCCTGCAAGGCCCTCGGGGTATCTGAGGTGACAGGCACAGGGAGGCTTGTTCAGTGCCAGGAAATGGGATCTCCCCTCCCCTTAGCACCTGGAACTGGGAAAAAGGGAAGGGGCAGACTCCCTCCAACAGTTCCTGTGGTTCAGGAACACCTCGTGTGCTTGTCCTGCACGAGGTGGCACTTGAGGAGGAAAAACTCCCCAGAAAATCCACTGGGAGCTCTCATGAGCACATGGACATGGAGCTGCTGGAGAGAGGCCAGGAGACCCTGGAACTGCTCCCAGGGCTGGATCCCTCTGCTCTGGAGCCAGGCTGGGACAGCTGGGGGGGCTCACCTGGGGAAGAGAAGGCTCCAGGGAGACCTGAGAGCCCCTTGCAGGGTCTAAAGGGGCTCCAGGAGAGCTGGAGAGGGACTGGGGACAAGGCCTGGACGGACAGGACACAGGGAATGGCTTCCCAGTGCCAGAGGGCAGGGACAGATGGGATACTGGGAAGGAATTGCTGGCTGGGAGGGTGGGGAGGGGCTGGACTGGATTTCCCAGAGAAACCGTAGCTGCCCCTGGATCCCTGGGAGTGTCCAAGGCCAGGCTGGAGCACCCTGGGAGAGTGGGAGGTGTCCCTGTCCATGGCAGGGGTGGCACTGGATGGGCCCTTCCCACCCAAACCATCCCATGATCCTGTGACCCTGCTGTGACCCTGGAAAGGGAAAGTGTCACTCTGCAAACCGAGCACCAGGCCAGTGAGAGGATCCCATGTCCCACTCAAAGCTGCACGTCCCACACCTCCAAAATCTGTGTTTTCTGGGGGAAAAACAGGTCCATCTGCAGCCCAAGCAGGCAGAGAGATGTGCCTGTGTGACCCAAGTGCTGCAGCAGCTGCACATTGAGGGTAAATGCTGGTTTGAACACCCTCCTCCCCATGATCACAGACCCTGCTGGACAGCCACGGGTCTGATCCGTGGAAAACGGGCTGGGAATTTGTACTTGCTGCTACATTTTGGACCATCAGGTGCCTTTCACATCTCTCCCCCACCTCCATCTACATCTGCCTCTGATTATCAGGGCTGAAGCATTCCAGCCATCCTAGGGAATTCCTTCTGGAGCAAGAGACACAACTTACTGACTGACCTGCAAATCCCATGGTGCAGAGATAATAAGCCTGAAAATCACCCAACTTGCAACCCAAAGCAACCACCAGAAGAGCTTTGAATCCACCAGATCCTTTCAGGGAGGAGAGGGGGCAGCACTCCTTGAAGTCCCTTCTCCTTCAAAGGGGAAATCAGGAGGTAAAGGATTTTCTCTGTGCCCAGCAGCAGAGGCTCACACCAAAACCACGCTTATTTTTGTTTAAACACACCAAATTAACTCCCACAGCACACCTCCATTTAAATAAAACATGGAGACCCTGGTCTTCCAAGTATTTTTGAGCCAGGCTATGGGGAAGTTTCCCAAGCCTCCAATCATCCCTGTTTGATTACTTTAATTAGATGGATCTGTCATAAACAGTGGGAGGGGCTGGGTTTGCTCGGGACTGGATTCCTTGGTCACAGTGGTGACGAGCAAACAGGGTCTGTGGCTGAAAACATCAACATCCTTTCACATGGCTTTATCTTTCTGCATTTGCAGTGAGTTTGGGGGTGAATTTTCTGTGGATTCCAGGTGGATTTTGTAGGATTGAGAAAGTTGTGAGTCGCTCTCAGTCTGCAGGGTCTGAGCAGTTGATTATTTGTAGGCAACAGCAGTGGGTGGAGTAATTCCCACATCTGCCTTATATCCAACCTCCGGACTCAAGGAAACCCCTGCTTGCATCCTGCAGCACAAAACCAGGCCCCCTTATCCACCAAAACCTCTCAGGGAAAGGATGGAAAACAGGCAGGAAAGCCCTTCCCAACAATTAAGGGATGAATAGATCTTCCTACTACAGTAGGAATAGAAATATTTAGAATATATTATATTACATTATTGTTCTATTATACATTTATAATATATTTATAACCTAATCTAAATAAAATCCCCGCTGTGCAGCAGAAGTTGTTTTAGCAGACCAAAAAAAAAAAAGCTGTTTTGAAATGATTTTACTCTTTAACTCGAGCACTGGGCCACCAGGAACACAAAATACCTTCACTGGATTTTTTCTTTCCCATGGAGCCACCTGAGGAGCAACCTAAGAAAGATAACAGCCCAAGGCTGAATTTCACTCCCTGCACCGAAAATCATCAACAAAACCTGATTCCTACTGACAGCACAAAATGTTCTTCCATGGAAAAGTCTGGATCCCATTTTCCTGGTGAAAGGGATGCAGGGGCACAGTGGAGTCACCGTGCTCTGCTGCCCTCCTGGAGGGTCATTTTCCACCTCAGAGGAGAGGAATGGACAAAAAACCAAATTCCCAAAGCCTTCAGGTGACAGAAGGTGCCTGGAAACCTCCCTCTGCTGGAAAAGGAGGAGCAGTAATGGGAACATTCCCAGAGTTTGTGCATGCAGTGGGAAAACCTGGCCATGATGTAGCCTGGAAACACTAAGGGTGGTGCCACTGGTCCCAGTCTGGGCTCCTGCAGCCACCAGGGAATCCTCAGGTTCCCTTCCAAGGCTGGAATCTTCCAGGCCTGGGCTTGCCAGGAGTGGAACTCCCTGAGGAAAGCTGGTTCAGGCTCAGGGACGTTTTGAAATCCCAGCAGTGAGAGATTCCTCACCCCTGAACACGTGTTCTCTGGGGGCAGGGGGACATCGGGGCAGCCCCCCGGAATGGGGCTCCTCTCCAGGCAATCCACTGGTGGGAAAAACCCCAGCACTGTGCTCGTGGAACTGAGGCTGGGAAAGCCCTGCAGGATCATCACCCACCAGCTCAGCACCACCACCCTCACCTCGACACCCTGTCCTCAGGTGCCACCTCCACGTGGCTTTTGGACACTCCCAGGGGTGATTCCAACACCTCCCTCTCCACACCCTAATCCTCAAGGAACAACCTTCCCCACCCATTTTCCTGGGGGAGGCACAGAGAAGTGCAAGCTGTCTGACACAACCCACACCAGACCCTCTCCCTTCCAGAGGTGTTTTA